GAAGGAACTGAATATACTTTAGAATTGAAAAATAAAGGTGGAAAAAATTATTCCCATAACCACCTTAACACACTTGACAAATCACACAGGATGAATTTTCTGAATTTCTGACCAAATAACTTGATGCAACAATGCCACAGTGAAATTTCAAATAATTAATTCATCATAGCTACTAGAACCATGGTGGATAATAATCGATGATTTTTTAAAAAAAGAATAAAAAATGGATTTTTTTTATTTTTATCAAATTTATTTTAATAAAATGCTTTTGGAGTAAAAATCTATCTAAAGATAGTTTTCTATTTAAGATACATTAATAATTTAGTTTATTCAGCATGAAATGGAGCTTAGTTATGTAGCATGAGGGTGTATATTCTGCAATATTTACATTTTTGGTAAACTCATTCAATGAATCCAAACTCTGCAAGCTAAGATAACATGCACTGCATTGATGCATTCACACAATTTCACAGTAAACATGAGATAAATCATAAAACAAATTTCAGGAATATTCCTTTATCCCATTGTTTTGCAAATCTATGTACACTACAAACTGTATGATTGTTTGAAGAGAAATGCATCTGTACCAGGCTCTTAAGTGTTTTAATTAAATAAAAGAATTTGAGTAGTTCTCCAACTATGTGAGATTAACCTATTAACCTAAAATCGGTTCTGAAATCACTGACAGCCTATTATTCTAAATAGGAAAGCTTCATTTTGTTTGCAAATAATAATATTAAAGATCCTTACATTTAAAGATCACCTGTCATTTCAGATCCATTATGGCAGCGCCTGTTAGCAGGCATCTACTCACCTGCTGCCTGCCACGTCTCTTACCTTGTTGTGTCGCTGCCGCATCACCAGCCATCCCATTAAAGTGAATGGGACTGTCGGTGAGTCAACAGCGGGTCAGAGGAGCCGCTGCGGGACAGAGATGACAGTTGCTCTTTAAAAATTATGATCTAAATTGAGTTGATTTAAATCAAGCCTTTTTACTAGTAATTTAAGTCATGATTTAAATCAACTTGATTTAAATCAAATCCACCCTGACTAGAACAGTGAAAAGTATTTTCTGTGACACTGTTCCAATATTATCATACAGATAAATATAAATTAGGACAAATTTGTTAAATGCCTACACTAATATTACTTAGGCAGTTCAATTCTATTATGATTTCAACAGACAAATTGGACAATATTATTAAATAGATGTTAAGCAAACTTACAAAGGGCTACCAAAACTGGGCTGCACAATTAAGGTAACCATTAGTTGGTGGCAAACAGATAAAAGTTTACTTTCTGCCATCTAGTGGCTATCTAGATTTTTGCATTCTAGATCTGGCAGTCCTAACTGATAGTTCAAACTAATGTTTCTCAACCTTAGCAACTAAGATATGTGGATTTCCGCTTCTAGAATTCTCCAACCAGCATGCTGGGAGTTAAAGTCTATATGTCTTAAAGTTACCAATATTGAGAAACACCAATCCAAACAGATAGCTCATGTACAAATTCCAATGGATTTACAAAACTTCTTTTGGCTGATGATAATCTATCATGCAACCTTTTAACCTATTTCAGAATATATTACTAAATGGGATCATATTTATCTACTATATATATATATATCTATTAAAATCCAAAAATGGTATATGATTTGCTGAATCATTCCAAACATTTCTATAATCCATCATTAAATACATTTCATTTACTGAGGAATGTGGGATTGCTATGTTTTTCAAAGTGAGTACTGCCATTTATACCCTGCACTCCAGTAATTAAGAATATGCAAAGGTAGTGCCTATATTGGTTTGGCCCTATTATGCTGTATGAACTAAGGCTGCTGCTCAGAACAAATCTGATATACCGTGTTTCCCCAAAAATAAGACCTGGTCTTTTTTTTTTTTTTCCCTCCAAAAGAGGCACCTGGTCTTATTTTCGTGTGTGTGTGTGTGTGTGTGTGTCTTTTCCACTCATCTCTGGCATGGACAGCCCCGCCAAGCTGGCCTATTTCTTCTGCAGCGAAGGAGCAGCTTCATTCTGCAGCTGAGAATGGAGCTCTGGCCTCGCAGTCAAAAGGCTTTTTCAGAAGGCCACTGCACCCGAGAACTGAGCTATGGATTCAATCCATAGCTCGGTTCTCAGCTGCAGAGGCCTTGCAGAACTGACCTATGGATTGAATCCATAGCTTGGTTCTCGGCTGCAGTGGCCTTCTGGAAAGGCCTCTGACTGCGAAATGTAGGTATGTACCTTGCCCCAAAACTAGGGCTTATTTTTGGGGTAGGGCTTATATTAGGCTCATCCCCAAAAATCAAGCTAGGGCTTATTTTCAGAGTAGGTCTTACTTTCGAGGAAACACAGTAATACTCCACTGCAGTTGTGTACCAATAATTCAGGTAACATTCTGAAGTTACATAGTTACTGTTTTTTGGTTTTTTTTTGTTTTGTGTGTGTGTGTGTATCTTTAATCTTGTTATTCTTTCTCAATTCCACGTATATGTGTAATATATGCCATTTATTGAGAATAATTCTAGGTACTATAATTCTTCAAGCACTATATACTTACAATTTGCTATGTAAATAATTGCTCCTATTACAAGCTGAAATCAGATGGCGTAGTGATATTTAATCAGCATATTATATTTTGAAATTAATGTAAAATAAGAATTGTGTTATAACACATAATTTTCAACATTTTATAGATGAAATGAGAAACACTTCTGTAACACTGCTATCCTCACACCCTCCACATGTTGATTAGCTCATGTTTGTACCAAATGATAAGCTGGAGTAGATAAGAATTGTAGTTTATCAGGAAGGAGCAGCAAACACATTGCTGAATCACTTTCATCCCTTTAGAAATGTTTCAGGTAATTAGAAACTGAGTAAGACAGAATTATACCCCCATCCCACCCCCAAAAGGATTCTGGCTTGTTGTTCCTCTAATATTTTGGATCATAAACCAACTTCAAATTCTATGCAGCATCTCTTGACTGTGTGTAAACTATAATTGGATGTATATGTGCATATTACATTTCTGGTTACTTCAATCATTCTCAAGTGCAGGAGACAAGTGCAGGAAACAAGTAAAAACCATTGAGAAGCAGAGTTCTTTTACTAATACATCAGAATCCTCAATACATGCTAACCATCTTGTATGACTGCATCAATGTATATTCATTTTATGGATTGTCCTATATTCTGTCTTACACTATCTGGTTTCAAAAGCATGGTGTGTTTATAAAATTACTATGACAGTGCTTTTTAAAAATAGTAGATCTGGTTGTACTTAATAGAGAATAGCTGCAACTAAAAAAATGCTGGTCATATTTAATTCACTTATTGGGATCACACAGCACTTTTAACTTTTAAGTTATTTACTGGTTTTATGACAAATTATTCAACTTGTATTTAATGCCTTGCTAAATATTACTTAATATATGGAATAAGCCACTGGGGCTTATTCAATAAGCTATGATCACACATAACATAAACCAAATCATTCCATCAACTTTCCATTCTGCAAATATCCAAAGAGAAGTTAAATAGAGCTGTGACTATATTCATAGAAAACTGTTTGCGTGTTCTTTAATGCAATTATCAGAAATTAAATGACTCATGACTCTCCTCCCATAGTGAGATAACAGAAATTGGGGCCTTAACCTTTACACACTATTCGGATAGTAAGTTTAACTGAATTTAACATGATCAACCTTGGAATAAACATGTATAGGATTATAACTGTATCTAATTATCTGCAGATTAGGGTAACAGCTCACCAAAACTATGGTGTACCAACACAACAAATTGAATGGAGGACATTTTAGCAAAGTCTTCACAGTGCAGGTAAATATTTCAAGCAACAGAATGGCATCTGAAATAGTCACTAGTAAATGCTTTGAGAGTGATGGAATTGCATTCTAACAATCACAAATTTATAGTAATCGAATCCCAGAAAGTAATTCTGAGTAATGGTAGCTGTAGCAAACCATAATCATGCCAAAATACTGACACACTGTAAGGTCACCATGTAAATGCTGTGATACTTGGGTCTCAACATCTGATTCAAATGTTTGTCATAGCTTTTGAAAGAGGACATCATAATACACATTTTATCACTTGTCTTCCAATGCGCTCCTCCCACAGAAGCTCATTATTCTATGTTGTGGATTAAAGAATTATCAGAATGCAGATGACTGCCCACTCTGCTTCACCTTTCCATGTACATGAAGTTATATTTTAAGAGACTTTAGAATGGGTTCAAAGAGGAATCTGCAAATGTGATTAAACTAACATGTTTTAATGGTTGCTAATATTACCAAGAATCAATGAAAAGTATTAACATTGACTGAGGAACCTTTATTCCATCAATTTATCTGCACATTAAGGGTTCTTATTGTAACATATATCTGTTATAAAAGTAATCATAGGCATCTGTAGGCATAAGTAAACATGCTTTTAGACAGCACATATTCTACTATGCATTTTTAAAATTTTTCTTTAAAGGATTGATTTGTATAATATCTTATTTAACAGTTCCAATTTGTGTTATTTACAACTGTCCCAAGTTTCAGTGCCTCATTTGTGAATGACAGGATCCCCACTTATACAAACCCAAACAAGAAATAGGGTTGATCTTTTAGAGAATTGTTTATATTATGAATTAAATCCTATTTGCTGGTTTTTTTTAAATCCAAATCACTTGTTTCAATTAATGAATGACTTCTGTAACTTCAGTACATGTCATAGTTGCCTAGAGACTCCATCATCCAGCTTTTCAAAAACTGGAATAGCAAAAGTGGAGAGAAGTGTATGCAAACAGAGTCATTTCATATTGCTTATTATTATTCATAACATCCCAAATTAACTGGAAAAAAGCATGAAAGGGGGGAGGTGAGATTAAAGAATATGAAGTCAATAAAATTATGAAGCTAATGGACTAAAAATGTACTGAGCGTCTGATTTCACCAGATACACTGAAGCTATCCAAAGGAAAACAATGCAGTCACAAGTAAGAGTCTCCCCTCTGCAGAATGATGCACGCTCGCCAAAATAAACAGTTTATCCTCCCGCCGTTACAGTTATTCCCCCTCTTCGTGAATCATAGGGCCGGTAAACTGACTTTTAGAGTAAAACAGCAGCAGGGAGTCAGCCCTCCCTGCTGCTGTTACTGCTACATGTAAATGCTGATGTCAAAGACGCAGGCAAAGGATGCAATCTAGCAACTCAAGAAAAATGCAAGGAAGGAGCTGCAAAGATGAGAGATGAGAAATAAGGAATATATGCAATTAAAAATAAAAGTTCTTCCCCGCAACAACGGGGAAAAGAGGGAAAGTAGTAAATTAAAAAAATCTTTAATTTCCAATCTTTCCTTTCTCGTCTCTTTAATAGTCCCTGTATCAAAATAAAGGGAAAGATTAATAGCTAATGTCCCCCATTTTTTGCCAACCGAAGCACCCCACCTCTCTTTCCTTAAAAAAAAACCGCCACTCACCCAGACATACGAATAAAACTGACTTTCCTTGCCCAGCCGCCATGATTGCTCAAAACCCCGAAGGCAACGAGGGAAAGGAAAAGTGGACAAAGCCGTTCTCGAACTGACGCAAAATCTTTCTCCGTCGCTTTACGGCAACGGCCAGGTCTGTCTTCGTCCATTGCCTGGATATTAATTTAAAATGTCAAGACGAGTGACGTTTGGCCTCTCTTGATAGGGAAGACGTAGAATTTCAAACGAGGAGCCCCAAATATTAGTAAAATGTCGGTCAACCCACGCAGTTTCCTTCGCTCATTTTTCCCTCTTAAAAATAAGGCACTCGGGAAGTCAGCTATTCCCCCCCCTCCCAGATGCACCTGCTACAGGTGAGCAACCGCCGCAGCAGCAGCAGCCTCCGTCTTGCCCAGGCGAAGGGATGTGACGGTGTTCCTTTTCTCGCGTGGGTGGGCGCGTGGCTTTTATCAAGAGGAGCTTTTCCAACCAGGGTTTCTAGCTCGTGCGCGGACGCCCGGCAGAAGTGAGTATCTGGATGAGGTTGATCTGCGAAGGAGAGGATTTCATCCCAAAGGTGCTTTTTCAGGAGGCAACTGGGCTTTCTTGTTTTTCTTTGAAGACGTTTCGCTTCTCATCCAAGAAGCCTCTTCAGCTCTGACTGAATGGTGGGGAATGGAAGGATTTATATTCCTTGCAAATGACCAGCTGTCTACAACGAATATAAATCCTTTCATTCCCCACCATCCAGTCAGAGCTGAAGAGGCTTCTCAGATAAGAAGCGAAACGTCTTCAAAGAAAAACCTGGAAGTCCAGTTTGCCTCCTGAAAAAGCACCTTTGGGACAACCATGACATGGATGACTGAGAATCTCCATAGAGAGGATTTCATATATTGGGATTTTGAGAAAGGTGGTGGCGTTTTAGTCCGGGAGGGTCGGGATCTGCCTTCATTTCCTTCTTGTGTTGCATAGATCCATCTATGGCTTTTCTTAACTATTAGAAATCTGTATTTGTATTTGGCTGTAATGCATATGTATTGGGCTGGCAACCAATGCATGAAGAAGATAGATCTACACCAGCTAAAACTAAACGCTTCATATCTCCTTCTTAATCTTTGAGATTATACTAATGATGTGACTTCTTTATTTTAATGATAAAGTGGGATAACAATCTAATAAACATATATTTCAAGTACAGAGGCAAACATGACTCTGAATATGCATAGTCTTTCCATGTGGCTTCCTGTTGCTTTATTTCAGGACGGGGATATGGTTTTGTTTTTGTTTTTTGACTTCCTAGTTTAACCTACAGCCCTGGTTTTTCCTGATACTCTCCCATCCAAATACTAATTACGCCCAACCATGCTTAAGCTATGAGTAAACCAGTCAGAGCAAACCCTGTGCTGCCACCTGCTGAGGTAAAATTATGTTTGGTTTATTCTTGTTGTGATCAATGGGGTTCAAGGGTGCCCAGGCTGATTGATTTTTTCCCTAGTAATTTATGTGATAAAAGAATAAAAAAGACTTGGCAAATAAATAGTTTTACAGGCATACACATGTAAAAGGAGAAGGAGTCTATAGCACCTTCTCAGACTAATATTTTTTTAAAAAAAACATATTAGTCTGAAAAGATACTAATAGATCTCTGATTTTGGGATATTATAAACTAGGGGTGTCAAACTGGCAGCCTGCGGGCCGGATGCATCACATGCAAGCCATGCCCACCCCGGCTCTGCAAAGGCAAAAAATGTTGCGATATATCACGTGACATGATCAGGTTTGACACCTATGTTGTGAACTAACACTGATCTCCTAAATATGTAAAAAGAATCATGGATGGAATTTTAGAATCAAAATATAGTTTTGGAAATATCCAAGAGTTACTAGAATAAATTTTACAACTGAGCTGTAATCTAGATCAGTACCTTCTTTGTGCTAAAATTGTGACAAAAGTAGTACCCAAAGTAGTAGTAACTGAAAATTTCTCACATTATAACAGGGGTGTCAAACTCGCAATGTCATGTGACGTGTCACAACATATCGTGACTTTTTTGCCATTGCCGGCAATGGGGTGAGCGCGGTTTCGCTATGATGTATCCGCCCGTGGGCTGGCAGTTTGATACCCCTGCTTTATAACATTAACTATCAATTCTCAAAATACATCAGCAGTAAAAACTGTTGAGAAGAGACAGTGAAATATCACATTATATTGTGTACATGGTTAAGGCACCAGGTTAGAAAGCAGGAAACTGAGTTCTCGTCCCACTTTAGGTATGAAAGCCGCATGAGTGACTTTGGACCAATTACTCTCTTTCTCGGCCCAATCCACCTCACAGGTTTGTTATTGTTGTGAGGAACATAGGAGAAAGGAATATGTTCGCTGTCTTGAGTTATTTATAAAAATAATAAAGTGTGTATGTATAAATAGTTCATATAAATTGCTACTTCTATAAATTGCTTTGAAAAAGACATTTTGTAATAGTTATCCAACTTGTAAGTTAGGAGATATACAGGCAGTTGTGTTACTTTCTGTGGTGTTGGACCCTGAAGTAGCTTGAAAATGCTTATGGTTAGTAATTGGATAAAGTATTCTCAACACTTGAAAATCCAGATAGACAATAAGCCTTTGCTCTACTTTTTCTTTCCTCATTTAAATGTTTCAGGCAGTGAATGGAGGGCAGACTAATAGAAACCAGAAGAACAGGCTTTTTTTTTAATGGCATGCAGTTCTTTAAATAAACTTTTTCCCGTTATAAGCTGCTATATAGATAAAAATAAGGTGAACTGGGCATGATGGGATTTCATATGTCCTTGCCAAAAAGCAGGTCTGGAAGAGCTCTAATATCCATTTTTAGTCTTCTCAGTCAGTTGAATATTGAAAAAAGATTAAGGATTCAAGACATTGCTTATCTGTCTCTAAAAGGAATAGGGGGAAAAGTTGGCAAAAGAATGACAATATCTAAAAACTGGCTGGATCTGGATGGGGCTCCTGCAGAGGAAAAAAAATCCCCCAATGTATCTTTTTAGGAGAGACAGTTTAGAAGTGACTCAAAACCCTACTGCAGGTTCCTCCATTCTTCAATCTCTTCCCTCATGGTCACATGACTCAAAGGGTTGATGTTGTTTAGACACTTTCAAGGTTTCCAACTTGTTTACTTATTTTGGCTCTTGGTATCTTATCTATTTAAGCTGCAATTGCTGTTTATTAGAAGAGTTATATAACTCTTCACCCACACACTAGGAGACAGGCCCAACTCCATAATACTTAACTACATTGTTACCTCATTTACGCTTTGACCATAGTCTTTGTATGAGATTAATTTTAAAGATAGTTCAAAAGTTGAATTTAATTTGAAATTATTATTAGCCTTGGCCTAGGCCCTAGGCAGAATAAAACTCTGTTCTCCAGATACCTAGCCTTTGTTTAGGAGTTGGCTTCTTAGCAGAAAACTCATGACTACAATGGAAAGATTTCATTAATTTGTAGCAGGCGAGCAGAAAGCCATCTGTATACACAGAAGTAAAAGCTCTTATTATTTCTGGGTTTAAATTCTAGGCTTTTTCCTCCTGCCTTTCTGAATTAGTGGAAGCTATTAAAAATTATCTTTGTTCAAGCAATTTTTTTTCTAATTTGGAAGCTGCTGGCAGCTTCAATTTTTATAATTCTATGGATAATTTTAGCAGGGGATAGCTATGAGTAGCATATCACTTTGAATTTCATGTGACTGCATTACTGATTAAATTTTAGGACCAACATTTTTAGGACAATTGTTCCAGTTTTAACTGTTAAAGTCCTGAATATACTGTTGTGCTTGTAATATCTTTTGATTTTCTTCAGCTACTTAGACTGGCTGTTTCCCCCCACACACACACACCCCAAAAAATTAGGTTAAAGCAGTTTTAAGGTAGATCTTCCTTTAGAGCCGCATTGAAAGTTTGCTCAGGGAAAGCAATTCAGCTAGTTCCTTTTACCTTGGATTATTCACACAGGTGCAATAATTGTGTAAATATTTTAACCTTTTCTCTACTATTTGGTCTGCTTGAAGTAGAATATTACAAACAGAATTGTGGACAAAATCTATTAATGTAAATACATTCACAGTAAAAATTAAAATTGAAACACAGGAAAAAAATTGGATAAGGGAGTGGTGAGCCACTTGCTGTGAAGGACTGGTAGGTGCATTGTAGCTCTGGAATAAGGGCATTTTTCTCCATTTTCTGCAGCCTTTTATCCTATATCCCAATTATTTCAGATGATCCTTATCTCTTCATAGCAATTTCCCAGAGTGATCATAACTATGTTAGATCGAACAGACAAAACCAGGTGCTTTAGCTTCTGAGAGCAGAACTACTTAGCTGTGATTGGATAATACATTTTATTAATAAATTCAGTAAACATTCAGATTCTAATAATCTTCAATATTAATTATGAATCATCTTTATGAACATCTCAAATAATCTAGCCTCCACCTCATTGTTGGTCAATATATAAATGAACTGCAAATATAAATGAACTGGTCTTTTGATTACATAGAAAGCAAGCAGTAGAAGCATGCGCTAATAGAAATGAGTGTTTCTAAGACTATTCCTGAATTTTCTTTCTACAACAAATGGGAACAGGATTATCAATACAATGTAGGTAAAGAGGCACATGGCAGAAGGGCTGTGCTGCTTTGGATATACATTTAAATCAACAAATGATTGATGCATGCTATTGTTAAAGAAAGATATGCAAATGGTAGGTGAAGTTTAGGGTGTTTATTGTTATTTCTGGTGTTCCATCATCTTTTCGAAAACAACTGCATAAGGGAGATTAATATTATTAACAACAGCAGAGAACTGTCAGAATGTGTAAGTAGTTATTCCTTACAAATAATCCTCGAGTTACGATGATGATTGGGGCTGGAATTTCCATTGCTAAGCAATATGGTGTAATATCACGTGATGGCAATCCTGTTGTCATTAAGCAAGGATCACACAGGTGGTTAAGCAAGGATCTCACATGAACACAATGTGGGAAGAGATGCTAAAAGCTCCTCCCAGGCACGCAAGTCTGTGGATGCTACAGAGTGCAGGTCTGAAGGTGCCAAGGGTGGGCAACAAAGGCTA